AGGCTTTAGGTTTTTTTTCTTTCTTTGTTGGTGGAGGGTGGGGATTGGGCCTGCAGTTTTGATCAGGAACTGTCCAAGTGCTGAAACAGGTGGCACTTGCTAAACTTGTTGAAGTGACGCAGTATTGTACAGCCTTTTTGCCTTCTCACCAAAGCTAGTTATTGCCATTCTTTTTAAAAGTCTTCCCTACTCAGAAGGATAATTAACATTTTTGAAGTTTGCAAAGAAATGTGCAGATGTACATTAACCTCAGCTACTGTGCTACATCATTCGGAGCACATCCGTCTCTCTACAGCATACTTACCACTTATCACAGAGACATACACAGCACCATGGGAACAGCCCCAGGAGGAAGATAATGGAGAGGTAGAGCAAGTCACATTCCTGTTGGTGCTGCTGTAGGCTTCTCATTAGACCTAACAGGGCAGAGTRATTATCGTTCAATAGCTTCTTAGGAGCTATTCAGATAGTGGAGCCTAAGGAAGATTTTCTGTGACCACAATGTGACAGCCAGCCCACCCCAACCCCTTACTTACAAAATAATTTATGGACAGTTGTAAACACCAGAAACAATGATGGAAAAACTGGATTCCTTCTGAAATTCTGAGTGTCTCCATGCATCTCATATTTTAAGAAGGAAATAACCTGTTTTTATTTTTATTAACATAAAACCCCTTTTCCCTAGTTATTCTTTTAGTTAATTTGCTTTATTATTATTTGGCTGACTTGGAGTTTGTTTGAAGATGATGGGTAGAAAAGAAAAATCTAGTTCCATCTTTCATTTGGCAAATATTTATTAAGTCCCTACATGGAACCACACTGTTCTAGGCACATGGGACCCATCAGTAAATAAACAAGGCAGTGCTTCTGGCCCTCCATGGGTTCACATTGCAGTGAGAGAAGAAGGATGAGAAATAGGTACAACATTCCTCGACTTACAATAAACTATAGTAAGTTGAAAATACTGTCAGTCAAAGATACACTTCATGCACCCAACCTACTGAACATCACAGCTCAGCAACACGGCACACTATAGATACAGACTGCTTCCACCTGCTGCGGCCCCTTAGCTGACCTGGAACTTGCTGTCACTGTATCAAGATAGAGGATCAGATTTCATATCACTAGCCTGAGAAAAGATCAAGATTCAAATTGTAAGTACAGGTTCTACTGAATGAGTTATTGCTTTCACACAACTGTAAAGGTAAGTGGAAGCACCTTAAGTTGGGGCGTCTATCAGAAGGTGATCAGTGTCATGCTGTGGAGAAGACTTACGCGGGGAAGGAGATAGGGCGGGATGCTTCTTATGGTGGGCAGTGAGGCGTCTCTTGGGAATGTAGTGTTTGGGTAAGAAATGGAGTGAGTTGAGGGAAGAGGACTCCTGGAAGATGGAGCAGCAAGTTCAATGGCCCCAAGGGAGGGTCTTGGCTCCTGTGCTAAAGGAAAATCAGAGACTGAGGTCCACAGCAAAGGCACTGATGTGGAGAGGCCACATGTGGTGTCTTGGGAGGTGACAGGGAGCTGGGTCTGATAGAGTCACATCTGCCTTACAAAGACCTAGTTTTGGACGGTGATGAGGAGGGTTTGGGGTGAAGAAATTGCATGATGATTCAGGTTTTAGCAGCACCACTGTGCTGCTGTACAAATAACCACACAGGAATAATGGGGCTGCAAGGCACTTGGTAGGAGGCCACGGTAAAAACCTGGGAGAGACAATGGGAGATCTGGACCAGGGAGAAAGCCATGAAGATGCTAACAAGTGTTAGATTCTGGGAAAATCCAAGAGGATGACCAGATTTGTTGATGGATTTGATATGAAAGTGGGGTGGATATGAGTTGAAGAAGACCCCCAGGTGTCTTTTCCTGGGCACATCAAGGGCAGCAGGCCCTTTGCTATAATGGGGAGATTGGGGAAGGATCAGGTCTGTGGATAACTCAGTTGTGGACATATTATTCTGGAGATGCCTATTAGACATCCAGTGAGTGAACAAGTGGGCAGAATGCTGGCCATGAGACCTCAGACAGCATTGGGAGTCGTCATCATACAGATGAGCTTTAAAGAAATGAAATCAGACGAGGTCACCACATCTTTCAGTGAGAGCCGATGGGAGAAGAACCCCACATTCACTCTTCCTTTTCTTGTTGGTCTAGGTTCAAAGTAACTGCAGGTTTCAATGCATAAAGTTATTCATGTCATTTCCCTACAAAACACCTACTAGAATGGCAATATTTAAAGTAGAAGAGTTAGCAAAAGTCACATTTTCTTTCTTCTAAGGGAATCTAATGTTTTTTTTTTTTAAATTCAGCTCTTCTCATTCAAGAAAAAAAGTTATTGATTCTATAAAGCCCATGACTTTAGATATTTTCACTTCTGCTTCTAAATGACTGGCTCCATTTCCTGTCTGGTGACATTTGATAGTAAAAGCTTAATTTAACATGAGCAATATGGAGCTCCAAATGTTCCTGCCTCAGAGAGAGAACTAGATAACTGGCTTTTGAGAAAGAAGAGATGCCTACGAGCTAGAAACCCAATCAATAGTTCACTATTTTGTTATATTTTAATCCACCAAAAGAAATAAAACACACAAGCACACAATAGCCAGTAGTTAGCACCCAGGCAGTAGACTGATTAGCTATTGATTTTTCCTCCACCTTACAGAGGAGAGAGGATTTTATTGGAAGCCCCAGTGCTATCTGTCCAAGAAAAACAAAAGTGTATATGGAGAGGGTACTTTGCCCTTTTGAGCTAATGACCTAGTTTAAATACACAAAATATACTTAAATCACAAAAAATTAGATTAAACTCACACTAACTATAAATATCAARTTTCAAGGTGATTTCCTGCCTTTTTTTTTTTTTGGTACCAGCATTGAGCCCAGGGGCACTTAATCACTGAGACACATCCCCAGCCAGTTTTTATTTTTTATCTTGAGACAGGGTCTTGCTAAGTTGCTTAGGCCATCTTTGAACTTGTGTTCCTCTTGGCCTCAGCTTCCCAAGCCACTGGGACTACAGGTGTGCACCACCATGCCTGTTTTTTTTTTTTCCTACTTTTTAACATATTGCACGCATGATGAAGTGAATTTACTAGATACAGATTTGAAGTTTGGTTTCAATTTGAATAAATGGCTAAAAAACTGCAAATGCCTTGGTTTTCACTGAAGGATCTGATGGGTATTATGAAATGGCAGAAAAAGTGTCTGGTTCTCAGATAAAGGGTCTGGTCTTCCAGCTGCTCAGGAATGGCGTCTTGTCCCTTGGTACACTCATATCTTATTTCTCCCAGTTCCCTAGAGGCCACAAGTAAGCTGCATTTTGGCCATAGTAGCTGGCCAAGTCTCCAGATGCTGTCCACTGACACCTGTTACCTGCTCTGTCTGCCAGACTGTGTTCTCTAAACTGACCAACAACCCTACAGGAATCATCTCCATACCAGATGCCTATCCATCAGGACAATAGTCCATGGAGACCACAATGGTTTTCCACCACATTTCTGTGAGGTCATCCTTCCCCAAGCCTCATCCTTCCCCAGCTTGGCCTCTTCACCTACAAAGAGAGAGGCACTAGGAGACCTCTCTGACTTGGGCTCCCGCCACCTGCCCTACCAGACACATTAGGTTCCTTGAAGCCTTGCTCCCAGCTCTCACTCCAGGGAGCTGACTGCAGGGGCTGCCCCTGTGTTCTCTTCCCCCTAAATATCTGCATGGCTGTCTGCTGCCCTTAAGTATCGGCTCAAGAGTTACCTTCTGACCACTCCTACCTTGACCTCTCATTTAAAATCCCACCAATAAACTGGATATCCACAGGCAGAAGAATGAAAGTGCACCCTTACATTACATCATCTACAAAAAAATGAACTAAAAACGGATTAAATATCTACACAGGAGACTTGAAACAACAGAACTCACAGAAGAAAATGGGAAAATCTACACAATATCAGTCCAGGCAATGATTTTCTTCTGCATCTGACTCCAAAAGCTTAGGTAATGAAACAAAAATAGACACAGGAGATTACGCCAAACTGAGCAAAGGAAAGGAAAGAAATAATATGACCTGGCTCCAAGCACCTGAAAGGTTCAGAGCAGGGCAACCCAAGGACTGAAAGCAGCTTGTGGCTGCCTGAGGCAGGGAGGAGGGGGAGGACAGGGCTGTTGAATACACACGGATGGCCCTTCGTGATGGTGACAACGTTCTGGATCTTGTCAGAGGTCCTGGTTATATAACACTGGGAATTACCAAATGGCACTAAAACKCTACACTTTAGAAAGATTAACTGTATGTCTTGTGAATTGAAAAAGAACTCGAAACCTTACCAATCACAGCCGTATTTGCTCTGCTCCATTTCTCCCTGTGAAACTTTCCTAAGACACTGTGTGCTTCATTTGTTCATCGGACCCCTCCCCCCTCCTGAATGCAAACTCCACAAGGTCAATACTTTCTCTTAGTCTCACTCATTTGATATAAATCTCCAGCCGTGGAATTGGCCAGGAGTGAAGTAGATTATAAACACATGTTTGTTGAATAAATATGAGTGTATTGCCTCTTCAATGAATCAACAATAAAAGGTCCTCAGTATCTCATGGGGTGGTGATTTAGGGAAAAAAAATAGGATTAAGGATTCAGTATGGTCTCATCCAAAATAAACTGAAAATAGAGAGGGGGAGCAAAGGGATGTGTACCCCATCAGGATTCCTCAGCTCACAAGTGGGAGGCAAACACAGTCTTCTGAGGGACTCAGGATGACAGGATGAAGTGCTCAGCATGTGGTCACTTTTAATTTGCAAGGATGAAAAAGGTCAACAAAACCACCTTTCCCTCTAAATTGTAAATGATCATCAGTTCACTGGATTTGAAGCAGGAGACCTGGAAAACATGAGGCTGCTAATAAACGCACGGCATCTGCTCACACATGTGTCACCACCSGTGGGTCTCGCCACACACATCCCATAAGAAAGCATTTTCACTGAGAAACTGGGACTCTGTGAGTCAGAGAACATACCGATGAGCTCCTTATTTCTGACGTCCAAGGCCATGTTCCGGAGCGCCGTGGCCACCGCACACACCACACGGTCGTTGTCTATTCGGAGCAGCTCAACAAGAATGGGCAGGCCTTTCTCTTTTCGGACAGCGGCTCGGATATAGACTGACCACTGCCAAAAGAGGGAAGGCAAAGGACATTAGGAACAGAGCTGGAAAAGCCTATAAGCAAATATTATGGGTGGGTTTCAGACGGCTGTTTACAGGAGCCAAAGGATGCATTATCAAGACCTAGTTGTAGAATAGGTTGAATGAGTTAGACATGCATTTAAATGATTTAACTTTTTTTTTTTTTTGCCTTCAACATAAAATAAAGGTTTCAGGGTTAATCCATGAACCACACTTCGCTTCTCTTGTGACGGTATTTCTAGCACTTGAGTTTGAAAGCCATTGGTGGGATGTGCTTAATGCTTTAAGATGTGGAGAGCTGGGACAGGCAGGGCTGGCCATTCTCAATAAGATTTTAAAAAAAGGACCACCAAAAAATAGAGAGTGGGATGAATTGAACATGGAGAATTTGCAAAAGAGCTCTGAATTTAGAGGGGGTGTGGCAGAGAGATCAGTTGCCAAACACACAAAGGAGTAAGACCTTTGCTGAACAGTAAAGAGAAAAGGCAGGGGTGGGGTTGGGGGGTGAACATGTCATTGACAATCAAGAGTGAAAATTGTAAACTTATTTTTTTTWAAAAAGATCAAAATGCATTATGTTCAGGGTCATAATTCAATGTCTTATTTATAAAGTAAGACATAAAAATGTTTTGGGGGGTTGGCRTCCATAGGCCTTAATGGAATAGAGTTAACGCTTCAAATTGAAATGTATGGGCAGTATCAGAGAAGTAAAGCAGTCAGATTTAGATTCAAGATTTAGATTCAAAAGCTTTGCATACATGTGCATACATGCTTTACATTCTTCTGTAGTGTCCCAGAGAAGAGGGTGCAATAAATAATTGACACGTAAGGGTTGGATCTGTTGCAATTTCATTTCTGAGCTGAGAAAACTGCATTCACGGAATGAGGTTTTGGATTCTGAGGGAGTCCTCCTGGGGACCAGTCCTCCCCACCCCTCCCCCACGGGCCCTCTCCACCCTCCTTCCCCCATAAAGGGCAGGCACCCCAGAGCTGGCTCTCACCTGTGGCAGGCAGGGAGCCCCCTCTGGCAGTGAACGTAGGGCATACGCCATGCCTGCCACATCCTCAGCCCAGCCCTGCATGAAATATGAGATTAAAAAAACAAACAACTTCATCCTGTCCTAAGTTAGAAGTCACATTCACATAGTTTCTTATCACCATCATCCAATAATGCACGCTTTTCTCTTGCCCCCTTCTGTCCTTGAGCTCAGGAAGCCTGAGGGGTGGAAAGCAGATAAAACCCACTGAGACGTCTCTTGGTTGCAGGAAACTACTTTATAGCCCCACTCTCAGAGAGCAAAGAGATGGATGGCCAGGAATCTGAGATGCTGAAGAGCATAGAGGTTTGAAGCTGCTTGTTAGGATTTAGACGTCTGGCCTGATATCCTTCCCAGGGAGGAGGATCCTTCCCCTGGTACCATGGCCCWTGTATTGGCGCATTGGACCCACATGCTGGAAAATGACTCCTTTGGACACATGTGTTTCCCTACCACTTAAGTCCTGGGCCTCCAGCACCCAGCCCAGAACAGGCCACAAGCCTGAGCTTATGCAGCCCACTCCTGGTTGGGCTCATACCTAAAACCATGGAGGGAAGCTAGAAAAAGGAAGGAACAAAATGGCAGTTGGAGTGTAGCGTCAACATGGACATATTGCAAGGTGAACAGCAACAGTAAATCGTAATACTGGGGAGAATTCTTGACCTTCTGGGGGACTGCAGGGACACTCCTGGTGACTTAGGCAGGCTGAAGCAGGAGCCCTAGCAGGCCCTCCTCCCCAGTACCACTTCTTTCCAGGCCCCATGCCTCCTGCGTATGCATTTGCCATCTCCAGGCCTCAGGGAGGTCAGCATTAACATTTATAGAAGAAGAGATTTATACGCAAAGATGTTAAATAACAGCCACAGGAGTCACCCGTGAAGCTGAGCCTGGGTCCCGTTTCTCCAGATCTGCTGACATTGTTCCCCTTGCCATCATTTCCTTCCTTCTTGCCTAAGCGTCGATGCTAGGTCAATCAGACACTGCCCTTTTCATCTATCCTCCCACATAGGCAGGACGACTAGCCATATCTGAAATGAGCCAGGAAGGAACAGTCATGGCTTTAACCTTTTGGAAATCTCCCCAGATGTTGGATGGAAAAATAATTTGGTGTTTGGAAAGTAATGAGAGTCCTTCAGCTTTGATAGGAACAGATCTGAGAGTAACAGCAATGGACAAAGAATGGCCATGTAGTGCCCCCAATGGGTATGAGTCGGCCATTTTTGATATGAGAAAATGGTCAACAGTAATATGTTCTCCCTAAGTGAATAGGATAACCAGACAATGGATCTGACACTCAAATTATTAATAAATTTTATTTAGCAAATTTAAGTTGTCTTGGTATTTGTATATGTATGGATGATCTGTAGTATCACCACAGTAGATGGTAACTCAGAATAAATTACTTAAATTGCATTCAAAAGATGTTGCAAGTTTGTAAGGCTCTTTTACACATTCAAAGATATGTGCTTGCAATGCTCTGTAAAGCATCAGCCTACCAATTCTGAAGTAGGTCATGTGCAATCCACATGTGTCAGTCAGTGAGAAGTTAAAAGAGGGGATGACCTGCTATAGATACAGCTGTTGAGAAAATGCCATGCTATCGATACAGCTGTTTAGGAAATGGAGAATGCCTCACAGGTGCAGGCAGCATAGACATGCCAGGCTAACAAGGGTTCTTCCTAACCAGAAGCACACTGCCACAGGAGCAGAGCAGACCCTGCAGTGGCTAGAAGAGTGTATGGGTTGCCAAGAGTTTTAATCAAAACTACAGTAGAAGTAGCAACACTGTCATAAAAGTGAAGACACAGAGAAAAGGGTCCATAACTCATGGCAGTTAAGACAGAAACCTTAGGAATGGACTCTGCTCCTGCACATGCAGACTGAGGGCAGCAGGCACTGAGCAGACGGTGCAGAGGGAAGAAGTGCTGTGGCTGTCTCTTGCTCCTTGCTCATGCCTCTTCCTTGGGAGAAGCGTGAGCTGCAGAATGGGCCAGCACAAGTGCTTAGTGTGTGAGGCTGAAGGGCACAGGTCCAAGTAGAAGATGGGGCACCTTTGAAAGGCGATTAGAAGAGGTGGAGACAATTTGCCCTCTCCTTGCAGTTCACACAGAGCCTCTAGGTTGGGAGAAGGAAGACAGAGTTTGGGGAGAGAACAAGAGCTGTAACATCATTGGTGGGGGTTGCCACCTGAACTCTGGCATGTCCCCAGATCACACCTGCTGCTGCTGAACCCCCGCTTTGAGGATGGTAGTGCAGACTCAAGAGAACTGTGCTGCTGCTTCTTGAACCATAGCAGTGGCGATAGGAGGTCAAGCAAAGTCTGCGATCATTCGGAAGTGGGGGCCACAGGGTAGGGATGGTGACATGGCTTGTGGGTCTGGAGAATGCTCCTGTGGTGCAAGTGTGGCAAAGGATAGCCCCTGAGGGTTTCTGTGGCTTAAATGGACAAGGTGTATAGGTCAATGGAGAATGGGCTTGCACAAGAGCTGTAAAGAGGTCACTTGGTCAAGAAGGAGGCTGCACATAGGAATGGTGGGCATGGAAAGGACACGGCCGCACATCAGGTGAGCTGAGCAGCAAGGGAGGAGGGTATGGGCCAGAGATGGCCCAGTCACCAATCAGCACATCTGTGTGTGTCCTGGACAAGAGACAGCACAGGACAGAGGTGCTTCCAGACTGAGAAATGGAACCAATTCATGATCCAGTTCCCATTTCCTCTGCAGGATGTGCCTCTAAGACCCCCAAATTCAGCTTCAACTGCTGAGGGTAATGATAGGCTGACAGTGGGAAGGTAGCCAAGCTTTAAGCCTGAAGGGACCACAAAACAGCTGGTTTGGTTGAGTTCACCTAGAAATGTCTGTTTGATTTTTCTTTCCATTCTCTACACCACACACCCCAGGTTTTTTTTTTTTTTTTTTTTTTTTTTATCAGTTAAAACAAGGGCTCAGAGGTGAACCTAAAGTGAATTGTGTAAAACAAAGTTTACTGGCACATAAAACTGTGATGAATAAATTTCCTCACTGCATGTACTGGGAGGTTATGGTGATAATGTGAAGTCAGTGTTTTTAACCCTTTAAGCCCAGGCTGCTTCTCTGGAATGTGGATTTTGAGGAGCTTGATTTTGAAAAATTGCATCCTGTCTCTAAACACAACTGATAGCCATAATTTTTCTAAAAATCTCTCTCCTGCTTAAGATGAGGCAGTTCTGTTTAAGCTGATTATGTCCCTAAAAGGAGATTAACATTGTAATTTAGCTTTTCCCTCTTTAAATCCCAACAATTTACTAAGTAACTAAAGATAATGCTCTCCTTTAAGTACAAAATAGTCTGTTCTGAGGCTGAACCCATTATATTTTGCTAAAATTCTGAATTTGTTGATTAATTTTCTATTCTTCAAGAGTACTCTGGCTTTAGAAGTATCTGAAATTAAACTCTTTCCTGTTAAATAAGCATTTTCCCACTGACTTTATTAAAGTAGTCATTTCCCCACTTTTTCTTCTTCCCTCCATCCATCCCTCTGTCTCCCTCCCTCTCTTTATCTCTGTCCTTCCTTTTCCCCCTTCCTTAGTTTCTTTTTTTGTGGTAATGGGGTTGAACCTAGGACCTCATACTTGTCAAGCACACCCTCAATCACTGAGCTACATCCCCATCCCTGTCTTTGAAACCTATTTTACTCTGAGATAGTCTTGCTAAGTAGCCCAGGTTGGTCTTCAACTTTTGATCCTCCTGCCTCAGCCTCCTGAGTGGCTGGGATTACAGGTATGCACACTATGCCCAGCACCCCACTTTTTCTTCTGACATGGTAAAGGAAGTTCATGTTTGAGAACGTAACTCCTCCAAATATAATTTAATCTTTCAGAAGTACTTGAGCATCTTGTGGTATCTCAGCTTCATATGTATTTGAAGTCCCATTCTATACAATGAGAAGTACATATGATGAGTTTGGTATAGATGGCTACGGATTATGAAATCTGCTTCTGAATTGATTTACAATACCGCGTTATTTATCATGGTACCTTGCTCTCATGATAAGAGGGCAGAAAGCATTTCCCCAAAATTATTTATTCAGCCTTATTTCACTGGAAGTTTACTATGAAAGCAATGTACTAAATATTCAGAAACCATGTTTTTTTCCCCTGCATGACTCACATTGTTTTGTTTTATTATTATAATCTGAATGACCAAGGTTTTGAGGTTGAAAAAGAACTGCGTTTGGTGGCTGCTCTAGGATTTGTGAAGAAACTGGGCCCTTCTCACGATGGGTTTCTCTACAGTGAATGTGGGATGTGGGTGTCGGCTCTTTAAATTCAGTGCTATCCTTTAGGATTATTTAGCTTTCTTTTCAAAATTCTAAAATCTATTTTTTTAAAGTGGTATCTCTAATGGGGAGGACTAATGAAGGATTTCCTTATGTTTGCAAAGGTATAAATCAATTCAATACATCAAATCTTGGTTAAGTCAATGGTAGTTACAGTATGTTTAAAGTGTTTTTTGTTTGTCTGACTATATTATTTAAATGTGAATCAGATTAGTGCAAATACTGAATTTTATTGCATGTATTCATGCTGAAATTATAAATTTCCAGCCAATAGGGTTTCCTGGGGAAAAAAAAAAAGCATTTTGATGTGCTTTCACAGTAAGAACAGATAAAGGTGGTCAAGCTGGAGCAAGAGAGACCCAGAGGAAATATTTGCTAAACAAATAAGAACAAGTATACCTGTTTCCCTGGCTCTCTAGCTATCTTAAGAATCAGTAATTTTCAATTAAAAAAACCTTTTCTTTAAAAATGAACCTTTCTGGAGCTGGGACTTTAGCTCAGTGGTAGAGTGCTTGCCTAGTATGTGTGAGGTACTAGGTTCGGTCCTCAGCACCACATAAAAATAAATAAATAAAGCTATGGTATCCATCTACAACTGAAAAAAAATTTAAATGAACCTGTCTGAACACAGGAAGATTTATTTTTATTTTTTTTATTGCAAATGTTATCAAAGATCATCATTATGTGCGACTGGCATTTAGAAATGCCTTTTGGTGATTAAG